GGTGCTCTGGTGTCTTTTCAAGTAGAAAAGTTTTTAAGGGAATGAAATAAAATGATGTGGTTGAACTTTAGTCAACTCCTCATCAACAATACACAGGGACATATTGTACTTTAACTTTTACATTACTTTATTTCTTTTTCTGTCTTATTTCTCCACCTAATCAATCAAATTAATAAAAATCTGACAGAAATTAGTACCTATTAGGCAGAGTATTAGCTGTGACGAGCCCGCCATCCTCCATCTAGTCTACTGTTTAGATGTTTACAATGACTTAATTTGTAGTGAAGTTCAGTTTCATTTGACTTATTTTTTTTTGTGTGTGTCTCCCAATCATCACTCAGAAAATGTTGGAAGAAACCAGTTATTTTCATTATCAATGCATTGGACAATTATAAAGATAAGATAAAATAAAGATAAGATAAACTTTATTGATCCCTCATCGAGGAAATGTACATGTTACAGTAGCTGGATACAGATAAGGCATGAGAGAAGCAGGAAAATAAATACAAAGTACAAAAAGGCAAAAAAAAAATAAACATATAATAATAAATGTCTCATTGTGGCAATATACCAGGCGTGACGAGTCTACATGTGGATATGTACATATGTGACATAGTAAATGTGCATATGGATACAGCTACAGCTATGGTGTGGTGAGTTTACATTTAGATATATACACATAGGACTTGATGAATTTGCATATGTAAATGGAGGATAATGTACCCCAAATTCTGTTATTGCCATCGAAAATGTCAATGGGGGATTTATTTTGAATCATCAATTGTTTATTCACAGTATCGAATGTCAGAAAATAGTGACATATGTGGATATTTCTCCTCTCAAGTGCATCATATATTCATGTTCAAGTTCTACAAAAAGCATTCACACCAAAACCAGAGCAACGTGCTCGAACGTAAACAGGCAAATATACAGTCATGGAAAAAATGATTAGACCCCCCTTGTTTTCTTCAATTTCCTGTTCATTTTAATTCCTGGTACCACTAAAGATATATTACCTGAAGAATACAATGAACACGACAACAAATGCAGCTGATTACATGATACTTTATGTCCTATTTGACATGCTTAAACTGAATTGTATTCCCTGTAGGGTATATAAGAGGCCGTTTCATGTCATGAGCAGCACTGCACATGTAAAGGCCTGGAGTGGTTTCCTGCTTACATTCAAGCCGTAGCACAACTCAGAAGTTGTCAGCTCTCACATAATGCCTAAAACAAAAGAATTATGTGAAGCCACAAAGGCAGCCATCTTGGCACTGCTGTGAATTGGCATGAGTGAGAGACAGGTAGCGGAAAAACTGAAGATCTCCAAGACAGCCGTTTATTACACCAAGAAAAAACAAGCCCAACACGGTACGACCACATTGCAGAAAACGTCTTTCTACCCCAGGAGATAACCGTGCACTCATCCGTTCATGTGTCAGGAATCATCGTCAGACCTCCAGGGACCTTAAAAATGAGTGGGCGCTGTGGAGAAGTGTGACTTGTTTGGCAAGACACACAGAATCACACAGAGCACAGAAGAAGCCCTTCATCAATGAAAGGCAGAGGAAAGCCCGGTTACTCTTT